CTAGTGTACAATAATAGATGTTGTTAATAGTAGATTGTCAGTATTGCCTTTATGAAGACGAGGTTGACTGGGTAAATTGTGGTTTTAAATAACTAGATGATGCTAATATAGTTAATGACAACTGCTGTTGGTTTTTAGTGTGCGTTGTTATAATGCTCAATGATTATTATTTTCCGGCAGATACACAGAATGAAAAGGAACGTGTGAGGAAGTATGGAGCTTTTATTCGGACGCTTCCACCAGTCAATAGGGCAACTTTGGCTGCTTTAATTGAACATCTTTACAGGTCAATGCAAATAATGCAGTGTAGCAGAGAAATTCTTGTAATGTGTTCTCAGTATAACTGTACCATAAATGAAATGTGGCTTGTTTCATTAAGTAGTAAGCATCAAAAGCTTACCTAGTTGTGACGATTAATTATATTTGATTCCCTTTAATTTATAATGTGTTTTTTCTTCGGTTGTATTTTTAGCAGTAGGTGTCTATAAATATCAATGGGATGGAACAGCCTTACAGTGATAGAGGGCTGCCAGTGTATGTGTCCAAGTAGGGTAATTTTTGATGTAATTTCTTTATACGAACTCATTTTACCCCAGTCTGCTAGTCTTCCAGAGGATTGTTGCAAATGGTTCTTGAAATTAAAAGATTTTTTCAGGGAAAATGTCCTTCTCCACAATCTGTATAGCACATAATAACCTTGAGAATTAGGTACCCTTTCTGGTTTTCATCAGTGCTTCTTTTTGCAACTGAGGTAGCAGTAGAGAATATCCAAAATATAAACTTGTTTAAGCGACAAAGGTCATGTCTTATTCCTAGATCAAATAAGCGGCAGCAAAATAATTGTGACTTGGATGATTCTGCAGTGTCATGGTTAAATAGTAAAGGCATATATTATATTATATTATTAAACAAGTCAAATTATATTCCTGGTAAAATGTAGCGGGTAGAGAATGTATAGAACCTTTTCTTTAGAGGATACTGTGTTTAGAAATTACATTACATAGCCAGGTACCTAGCAGATGTCCTTTAAAAACTATTTATGCAATTATGAAATTGATTGGAGCCATTATTGGGATAAAGATTATAGTTAGTATTGTGTTTAATGATGTTTCTAAGCATATCCATTTCAGATATATTAATATGCTGTTATATCTGTTCTGAAAGTAGTTTGGATTCATGTGTATAACAGCCAAAATTCTGTGATACTTTAAAGTGCTTCTGAAAGAGGACACATGTAAACAACAGAACTGATAGGAAAACTTTACCATAAGTATAGAAACTAAGAAGAATCTAATTTCTTTCCACATTTTGTTTGATCTTGGATCATAAGTTTGTAGGATATACTTATGTAAGGTAATATAGCGAAGCTGTGTTTAGTGTTGATGCAGCCTCACCTTGGGTACTGTGTGGAGTTCTGGGCCCGACACTTTAAGAAGGATGTTAAGGTCCTTGAATGTGTTCAGAAGGCAACAAAACTGGTGGAAAGGCTGGAAGGCCTATCCTATGAGGAGTGGCTAAGAACTTTGGGCTTGGCTGGTTTGGAGAAAAGGAGACTGAGGCGTGACCTCATTGCTCTCTACGGCTTCCCGAGGAGGGGAAGTGGAGAGGGTGGTGCTGATCTCTTCTCCCTGGTATCCAGTGGTAGGACATGTGGGAATGGTTCAAATCTGTGCCAGGGGAGGTTCAGACTTGGTATTGGGAAACATTTCTTTACGGAGAGGGTGGCCAAATACTGGAACAGGCTTCCTTAGAGAGGTGATGGATGCCCCAAGCCTGTCAGTGTTTAAGAGGCATTTGGACAATGCCCTTAACAGCATGCTTTAACTTCTGGTCAGCCCTGAAGTGGTCAGGCAGTTGGACTAGATAATCATTGTAGATCCCTTCCAACTGAACTGTTCTATTCTATTTTTATTCTATTCTATTCTAAATAATTTTGGTATCACTTGACATGCAGATAGAAAGTATGAGTTTTCATTTCTGTAATGAGATGTGAGATAAAGAAATAAATATAAAAAAGAACAAATAATATTAGACTTTTTCATTGCATTTAATGTTGTTATGCTTTTTGAAATGCACTCCATATTCTGTAGAGGAGCCTCAGACAATTAAAGGAACAATGAAACATTCTAAATATGTTAATTTTTTCTTCAACAGGGTGCAAAAATGTTCTGAAATCAATCATATGAACCCTCACAATCTAGCCATGGTGTTTTCGTCGTTCTTATTTCAAACTAAAGGCCAAACTAGTGAAGAAGTCAATGTAATTGAAGATCTAATTAAAAATTATGTGCAGCTTTTTGATGTAAGTATCTTTATATAAAAGTGTCCTAATTACTCAGCTGTTAGACACACTAAAATATAGAAATCTTCTTAAAGATAATCTTGCTATTAGTTACACTGTCTGAGGATTTGTCGGGTTTTTGAGCTCTAATTCAGTGGACATCATTCTTTGTCTGCTTTAAATTTTATGTCCCAGCTAGCTTAGCCTGTGTAGGAAACATTATATTTATAGGATTGGTGTGAGCTACTGTTTTCCAAAATGGTGCACATTCTTGTTGATGACAACCAGCATACCAATTTTGAGATTATGACTATTAAAAATAATACTTCTATTCAAATTTTATGGGCCTGGTCAGAACTGAAGCGTGGAAGAATTCTGTGTTCTTTGTCTCTGAGCTGTGGTTACAATAAAGACTTTAGAGAAAATGTTTGGTTCCTTAGGCCTAGAAAGAACATTAAATCCAACTAGGTAGAAAAGATACTACTAGCGGCAATTAGTATTAGCCATTTTGGTTGAGAGTTTACTGTGCCACTATAACATTGTCTGGCAGTTTTTCATGTAGTCTTCTCTCTTCTGATGTGTATTTGGTAAAGTTTATAGTAATGAATCCCATCAATGAAGTGCTGTTTCTGACTGATAGAATATTTTACATAGCTGCTTCAATAAGAACATGATTATCAGTATTGTTAATTGTAACAATATTTATTATTGTTACATTATTATTTATTATTTACTGTTGTTAAATGTAAGCATTCGTCTGTATTTATATTTGTATTTATCTTAGTTTATTACATTAGTGTTAGCTAGTTTGTGTTGTAATTTTTATACTAGCTCCCTTATTAATTGATCAAAAATGATCCATTTTAAACAGATAAATGAAGACCAGGTCAAACAAATGGATATAGAGAACAGTTTTATTACCAGGTGGAAAGACACTCAGGTAAGTGGCAAATATAAAGGGTATGAAAACATTTTTAACAAAGACTAGTTTGTTGTTTACAGGTTTTTATACCTAGATATCTAAATGTAAATTGCTAATTTTGTATAATGACCAGTGTTGTTTACTACAGAGCTGAGGGAAATCAAATAAAACAAAAGAGGAGGCATAAACTGATAGACCAAAACAATTCTGTGTAAAGCATACTGTGGAATTGTGTTCTGGCCTGAGTAGTGGGATAACTTACAGGTTGTTACATGCTTTTACTGTTCTTCATAAATTTGAGTAGAAGGTGTCCTGGTTTTGGCTGGGATAGGGTTAATTTTCCTCTTAGTAGCAGGCATAGTGCTGTGTTTTGGATTTAGTAGGAGAAGAATGTTGATAACGCGCTGATGCTGTAGTTGTTGCCAAGTAGTACTTGTGCTAGTCAAGGACTTTTCAGCTTCCCATGCTCTGCCAGGTGCACAAGAAGCTGGGAGGGGGCACAGCCAGAATAGTTGATCCAAACTGGCCAAAGGGCTATTCCATACCATATGACGTCATGCTCAGTATATAAACTGGGGGGGGGGTTGGCCGGGGAGCAGCGATCGCTGCTCGGGAACTGTCTGGGTATCGGTCAGCGGGTGGTGAGCAATTGCATTGTGCATCACTTGCTTTGTATATTATTATTACTACTATTATTATATTCTTATTATTGTCATTGCTATTTTACTTTATTTCAATTATTAAACTGTTCTTATCTCAACCCAGGAGTGTTTCTCACTCTCACTCCTCCGATTCTCTCCCCCATCCCATCGGGCTAGGGGGAGTGAGCAAGCGGCTGCGTGGTGCTTAGTTGCTGGCTGGGGTTAAACCACATCAGAAGGAAATGGTCAACATTTGCAAGTGTGAAAGTGATGACCTGTCTTTTTTTAGTTTTAAACATGCATATTAAATGCCTTCACGTATATATTAATACTTTTATTATTTCATGAGCTTTGGCTATACATGGTCTCTCTTCATTAGAGTTTCACCATCCCTTTGAGTTTAAAGCATCTGAATCTCTAGCCACATCCTGGTTTTTGACCATTTCTAGAACTCCAAAGCCCAAATACTATCTGGGGAATCTTCAGACACATACTAACAGTCAAAGTGAACTTTAGGATTCAATATAAGGAAATGGGAGATCTTATGCCACTTACTATCATCCTGAGTTCCAGTCTTACCTGTAACAACTTTTGAATTACTTCAGAGTGGTAAGAAACAGTGAAGTGATAGCATGTTTCACTGTCTGAATGGTATTTGTGTACAGTCCTAATTAAAGCAAAAATTGTTAGGTTTCATAACACTACTGAGGTGGCTGAATTAAGAGAGGTAAAAGGACATGTAGGGAGCTTAAAAGCTTTTTCAGAAATCTAAAGTAGTGGAGGAGAAGCTTTCAGTGATTTTGGAGCTTACAGGGTTTTAGAAACTAATAGAAAACTAGCAGAAAAAAATCTATAATGCTTTCTCTGTTGGCTGCCTTCCCCCTTCCGGCAACAGTTTTGTGATACCCTGTAAACCATCATTAAGAAGGCAGGGTCTTGCAAATAAAGGTAGAAATTGCATGTTCTGTGAATTGCTATCTGGAGTCTTATTTTTATCTCATATTCCCTTATTGTCTGGGTCAGAGTGGCATGAAGCTTTCTGACCATAATGGCCTACTGTGAATGTACATATAGAAGGTAGAATGCCTACTGCCTCCTTTTGGTGCCTGGTGGGGAGTGACCAAGTCGCTGTGAAACAATTTAAAGTTTACTTCTAGTGTCTGTCTTGCAGAATGGAAACATCTGCCTTGGTAGTGGCAAAAAAACCCACCCAAATTTGATACCTCTAAGAGCATTCTGCAAGGCAGGGGTTGAAGTCTCTTTAATGAAACTTATTAATTCTGGGGTCCCTGAAAAGGACTTTATTGAGATTAGAGAATAACAATTTGAAGCCTAAGATAGTGGAAATGGAGACTTTTAAACACATTCTTTTCTGTGGTTTTAGAACCAAGAAAAAATGCTTTTTACACTATTAACATTTTCCAGGCAACTCTGGGAAGCTGTAATGGTTAAATGTTTGTAATAACTTCTGGAAAAATTAGGGAGGTATGAGAGGAGTATCATGAGTAGAGAAGGAGACAGTGGAGACATTTTGATTAGATAAGGAGAAAAAAGTAGAAAGGAAACAGAAAGGCTGTTGATGGATTGAATAATATAGTAGCAACTGCTGGCTAAGTGGGTTTGTCTAAAACTGAAGCTGTGAGGAATATAGAGAAGTCCCAAATAAAGTGGTTTTGTTTTGTTTTGTATTTTTCTACCCCAGATACCACTGCGAAATCACCTTTATGAGGTGTATTGTATTTGGAAGTCTGCCTATTGAAGAAAAAAAGAGACGCTTGCTTTTGTTTTTTTAAAATAAAAGTCTAGGCTTTCTAAAAATGGTAAGGACTTTATTAAAAAGCTTCCAGCACCTGAAAAGCTAGTCTCCCAAATTTTAAACTTTATAATCAAATTGGAACCTTCATGAATAATTGGGCCTGTTTGGACTGGTTTCCCTAAGACTCTCCAGGTTGTTGGGAGGCAGAGTTATAGAAAGACGGAACCAGGATTTTAACTGTTCTTATTTTGCTTTCAGCAAAGTCTCTAGCATTAATAATCAGCTTTCTGAATTGATGGTTACACCTACTGTGTTAATAGACTCTGGCATGATTCTCATAACACACATGGCTAAGCTTTAAATTCTTTACAAAAAATAGTAATATCACTTTAACCTTAAAAATGAAACAAAATCTGCTACCTCATCGCAGAATTACCATAGAATCATAGAATATCTCAAGTTGGAAGGGACCCATAAGGACCATTGAGTCCCAACTCCCTCCTTCTCACAGGTCTACCTAAAACTAAACCATATGACTAAGCATCATCCAGATGCTTCTTGAACTCGTGACAGACTTGGAAGACCGCTTCCCTGGGAAGCGTGTTCCAGTGATCAGCCACCCTCTTAGTGAAGAACCCTTTTCTAATGTCCAGTCTGAACTTCCCCTGACACAGCTTTATTCCAGTTGTCTAGATTTGAAGGAACCTGCTGAGATCATCTAGTCTAATTACACTGCTGCTCAACTATGGCCTCTTAGACCAGGTTGCCTAGGACTGTGTCCTGTCAGATTTTTTTATATTTCCAACAATGGAGCCTCTCTAGGCAACCTCTTCCAGTGTTTGCCCACCTTCACAGTATAACTGTTTCTTTGTGTTCAGACTGAATTTTGTGTGTTTTTAATTTGTGCCTGTTGCCTCTTGTCCTGTCACTGGACATCACTGAGAAGAGTCTGTTTTCTTCATTTCCTCCCATCAGACATTTGTACATGTTGATAAGATTCCCCTGCAAGCCTTCTTTTCTCTAGGCTGAGCAGTCTCAACTCTCTCAGCCTCTTCTTTTGTGAAAGATGCTACAGTTGCTTCATCATCTGGACTCTCTCCAGTAGTTCCATATCTTTCTTGTACTGAGGAGTCCAGCACTGGACACAGTACTCCAGGTGTGGCTTCACCAGTACTGAATAGAAGGAATAATCACTTATCTCCACCGGCTGGCAGTGCTTTGCCTAATGTAGCCCAGGAGGCCATTGACATTCTTTTCTTTGAGGGCTCATTGTTGGCTCATGAACATCTTGTTTTATACTAGGCCATCAAGGTCCTTCTTGGCTGTCGTGGTTTAACCCCAGCAACTAAGCACCATGCAGCTGCTCGCTCACTCCCCCTAGCCCGATGGGATGGGGGAGAGAATCAGAGGAGTAAGAGTGAGAAACACTCCTGGGTTGAGATAAGAACAGTTCAGTAACTGAACTAAAGTAAAATAGTAATGATAATAATAACAATATAA